CCTGATGCTGCCAATTGGTCCAGTGGTGAGAATCTTTGTCTTCTTGACATTGAGCCTCAGTCCATACTGGAGGCTGCAGTCCTTGACCCTCTGCAGCAAGTAACAGTACCATGCGGAAATCATGCAAAGATACCCCACGATACGATATAGCAAACAGTAACAAGAGGAGTTAGGGTGGAGTGCAACATCCCTTAACCCCGTCACAGCCCCGAGTCCTGTAAGGGCTGTCTCCCTGGAGTGTGGCCTGTAACACCTTCTATCTCAAGGAGATGAGGTGAGGACAGCCGGCCGAGAGGGTGGAAGCAGTAATGACAGGATGGGGCCCCAGAAGGGGAGAGCAGAGCACGTCATCCTGGACTCGGCCCCGCACTGGTGGGAAGGCCAAGACACGGGCCCGCCCACCTCCAGAAGCTGAAGGTGACAGGGGCCTTTCTCCAGAAATGACACCAAGGGACTTCCAAGAGCTGGTGTCCCGACTGGCCCTCCAGCTCCCCAAACGGTAAGGCAATTCCTCAGCCGTCAAGCCATCACCTGTCCTGCTGTGATGGCCACAGGCTGTTGACGCTAGAAGCTATGCCCAGCTTCCAATACCAGCAGGGTCACCCGTGGCGGACAGGCTCCAGCACAGCTTTGGACTGACAGGCCAGGCAGGGAATGGGACTGGCCACCTGCTTCTGTGAAGCACAGTAGCCGCTGACCGCTGCAGAGCTGAGACTGGCACCGCATCAGGCAGGGAGCCATCCTGTTGACCTGGGGATGCCTGGAGGCCGACCTCGTTTTGCGCCTGGTTTATCACACTTCACAGACGCTTTGTTCTTCACACACTGACCTCAGTGTTCAGCCTGCACGGAGCAAGTGTCCAGGTGCCCTTCTTCCAAGGCTGTGCTCCCTTCAGGTGTCGCCAGCGCTCACCCTGACAGCATCGCGAACTTCCCCGTCCCCCAGACCACAGACAGCACAGACGGGACTTCTACATGCACGGGGGAAGGCACACAGCGCCCGTGACTGGCTTTACTGTGCTGGGGCTTTACTGTAAGGTCTGGAACTGAACCCACAGCCAAGTCGGCCTGGCCCTCCTCCAAGTGGGGGGACTGGGGCTCTGGGGGGTGAATGAACTGGCCCAAGGTCACAGAACAGGAAAGACAGAAGTAGGGTCTGTAGATCCGAGCTCCCTGGGCCAGTACCTGTCTGGCTGTCCCTTCCAGTGAGCCTAACCCTCACCCCCCACCTACCCCCGACTGATGCCAGGACTCTGGTGGTCACGCACGCGCGCGCGCACGCACACACACACACACACACCAGGGACCATCACCCCTCCCCCCCGGAACCCCTCCTCAATGGGAACATAAAACAAGAGGTCCCGAGGCAGGAAGTGCTCACCCCGTGTTTCTGAATGGCCACGTTGGTGAGATGCACGAACATGTTATCCAGCTCGCTGGTGCTCGGCGTGTACTTGACGGTGCAGAATCGGCAGAAGCCCAGCTTGTACCTAGACGGGAAGTAGGCCCATGAGTGCTCTCCGAAGAGGACGTGGAGCGGAAGGATCTTTAAAGGGGAGATCTTCCGTGTCTGAGGCTGACACCGGGTTCACGGTCAATAACTCACATTGTGCGGCTTGGCTGTCCACCACAGGCCACGCCCAGAACAGCCGTGACATTCCACACCTCACAGCAGTGTCACAACTAAGACCACGAGAGCAAACACACAGCCACAGGGTCTACCTGACCCACGGCGACTGTCCACCAAGTCTCTGTTGAGCCACGGCCACCGTCCACTGAGTCTAAGCTGATCCGTGGTGACCATCCACTGAGTCTACACTGACCCATGGCCACTCTTCCCTGAGTCCACGCTGACCCACAGCCACCATCCACCAAGTCCATGCCGACCCACGGACACCCTCCAGGGAGTCCATGCTAACCCACGGCCACTGTCCACTGAGTCTACACTGACCCATGGCCATCCTTCACTGAGTCCATGTGACCCACGGCCACCCTTCAGGGAATCTACACTGACCCACGGCCACTGGCCACTGAGTCTACACTGACCCATGGCCCCCAGCCACTAACCCCACAATGACCCATGGCCACCCTCCAGGGAGTCCACACTGACCCATGGCCACTGACCAGCAAGTCCAAGCTGACCCACGGTCACCTGCCAGGGTCTACACTGACCCACAGCCACCAAGTCTCTGCTGAATGACAGCCACTGTCCACTGAGTCTATGCTGATCTGTGGTGACCGTCCACCGAGTCTACGCTGATCCATGGCCACCCTCCACCAAGTCTGCACTCACCCATGGCCACTCTGCACCGAATCTACGCTGACCTACGGTGACCACGCTCCGAGTCTCCGCTGACCCACGGCCACCCTGCACTGAGTCTGCACTGACCCATAACGGTCACCCTACACCGAGTCTACACTGACCTACAGCGACCACCCTCTGAGTCTCCGCTGACCCACGGCCACCCTGCCCCGCGTTTCCTAGGCTGTAAATCTTTATGGGAGGACACTGTCCACCTTCCCCTCACAGAGAAGCTGGTGGATTTGAACCACCAACCTTTCCATGCACCCCTCACCCTGTAATGAACTAGCCCACCAGACCCCAGAAGCGAGAGGTACGTGGCACACCATGTCAGGACACAGACGGAGCTAGTCTTACATGTAGCAGCGCAGCGGGCGGTACGTGGACACCAGGACGTACAGGCGCAGGTCGAACTTCCTCCCACCAATTAGCAGCGGGTTGCTGATGTAGAGTGAGATGACGTAGGCCTCCTTCGTGGATTGGGCCACAAACCTGGGCAGGAAGCCGAGAGCGGAGGGAACAGCCAGAGGTAAGTCCCTGCATCCCACTAGGTGAGCTGCATTCTTGGGGAGAAGATGGGGAGGGGACATGTCCATGGAGGAGGGGAGGAGGGGCTGTGTCCATGGAGCAGGGAGGGGAGGGGCCACGTCCACAAAAAAGGGACAGGGAGTGGCAATGTCCACAGAGGGGGGAGGGGAGGGGCCACGTCCATGAAGGAGGAGCAAGGAGGGCAATGCCCACAGAAGAGGGGTGGGGAGGGATGATGTCCACAGAGCAGGGAATGGTCAGGGTCACATTCACCAAGGAAGGGTGATATCCACAGAGGAGGGGGTGGTGGTGCTGTGTCCATGGAGGAGGGAGGGAGATGAGTCATGTCCACGGAGGAGGGGCAGGGAAGGGTCACGTCCACCGAGGAGGGATGAGGAGGAACTGTGTCTCAGGGGGAGGGGTCCTGAGAACAGAGGCGGGACAGAGAAGGGTCCCATCCATGGAGGAGGGAAGGGAGGGTCCATGTCCACTGAGGGACCTGGGAGGGGCTGCAACTACAGAGGGGTGGGGAGGGTCTGTGTCCACAGGGCAGTGCCTGTCATCCTGGCGACGGGGGACCAGAGGCCAACAGCTGCCCAACAGCTGGAAGATCCTCTCAGGAAGAGCAACTCAGGACGGAATGACTGGGTGTCAGCCAATGGTCATTAAATCAGAGCTGGCGCACAATGACAAAGGAGCAGTGGTGGTGTCCCGGTTAAGTGCCCAGCTGCTAACCAAAGGTCAGTGGATCGAAGCCACCGGCCACTCCAAGGGAGCAAGATGCCTCTGTGAAGGTCACGGCTTTGGGGACCCGCAGACAGCTCCACTCTGTCCTGCGGGGTCACTGCGAGTGACAATCCGTCCAGCAGCAGTTTAATGGGTTTATCCATGAAAACGGACCACGGCCACTCCCACCCGCGCTCCCTGACTCGCTGTCACTGGGATCACTGTGACTCGGCTTTAACGACCCTGGGTGTTTCCGAGCCTCAGGTGAGGACACCAGAGGCCGAGCGAGCTGGCCGGAAGCCCCTGGCATTCACCCCCGGCTCAGCAGCCTCAGTTAAGAGTTTCAGTGCCAGGAGATCCCAGAGCCCCGGCTACTGCCAAGGCCGTGACCGTGACACCTCCGAGCATTCCACTCACCACGCCACACGGGGCTGCAGCGAGCATCGACCCACCCCATCCAGATGGAGAGACCGTAGGCTGAGACCCCTCGACTCTAACATACAAATTCCCTCAGCCAGTAAGTAGCGGGCTGGGATTCGAACACAGGTGCCCTGGGGTCCAGGTACCCAGCCCCAGAGCACATGCTACCATGCTGAAACCAAGCCCCGTGCCTATCCCAACTCACAGCCATGCCTCGGGACAGGGCAGACCTGCCCAGGCTGCTTCCAAGGCTGTAAACCCTCAGGAGTTTCCTGCTGCAGCTTTTTCTCTTGAAGCAATTACTTGTTCTTGTTGTTGGATGCCGTCAAGTACAGCTCACAGCGACCCTGTGAACAACAGACCTGAGCCCTGTCCTGTCCTGCGCCATCCTCACCATCTCTGACACACTGGAGCCCTTTGCTGCGGTCACTGTGTCAATCCACCTGGTTGAGGGTCTTCCTCTCTTTTGCTGACCCTCCACCTTTCAAAGCATGATGCCCCTTTCCAGGGAACAGCCTCTCCTAGCAACATGCCCAAACTAGGAGAGACAAAGCTTTGCCATCCTTGCCTCCAAGGGGCGCTCTGGGTTGTACCCTCTCCAAGACATAGCTGTCTGTTCTGTTAGCAGTGCTCTTCTCTAACACCACAGCTCACAGGCACCAATTCTTCTTCTGCTGTCCTTATTCATCTTCTAGCTCCCAGATAACATAGTAAGTGACTGAAAAGACCATGGCCTGAAATCAGGAACACCTTAGTCTTCAAAGTGGCATCATTGCTCCTCAGTACTTTGGAGAGATCCCTGACAGCAGACTTTCTCAGTGCAATATGCCTTTTGATCTCTTGACTGCTGGTGTCAAGGGTGTTGATTGTGGATCTAAGTAAGATGAAGTCACTGACCATTTCAATCCTTTCTCCTATTATAATGTTGCCTGCAAGCCCATTAAAGTCCCGTAAGGACTTTTGTCTCCTCAATGTTGGGATGTAATCTACACTGAAGGCTAAAATCCTTGATCATCTCCAGCAAATGTTGCAGGTTCTCCTCACGCTGACCAAGCCAAGTTGTATCATCTGCGTAACGAAGGTTGTTGATAAGTAGTCCTCTGACCCCGGTGGCACGCTCCTCCTCACAGAGTCCAGCTTTGTGAATGATTTGCTTGGCACCCTCATGAATAGATACAGAGAGAGCACACTCCCCGAGACACCCCTCCCAATTTTAAACCCCCCAGAGGTCCCTTGCTCTGGTCACATAACAGCCTCTTGGTTTAGGTACAGATTTCCAAAAAAGCACAACTGAGTGTTCTGGGATTCTCCTTCTCAATGTTGACCACAGTTTATTAAGAGTCTTTGAACTAATGACCTTTTAGTTAGCAGCTGTGGGCTTTAGCCACTTCACCACCAGGGCTCCTTGCCCAGGACTCATGGCCTCAGACACACCATGCCCGTATGGGCTCCACAAGCCCGGCAGGACAGAAGCGGCCAGCTCACCCTGCTCCGTGGCCACACTCAGCCTGGCAGCCCACCAGAGGGGAGACTGGTTGCTGACGCGACAGCCCCCACAGAGCTAGCTGTCCCTCCATGTGACAAAAGACGCCACAGCTACAGACACTCAGGTCGCCCACAGGCTCACCCACCTGGAGATTCGGCCCAAGACCACCGAAAGCTGGCTGCTGGTGGGGTGGCACGGATGGGGGCCCGCACTTACGAGGACGTCTTGCTGTCCCGGGACCACTTCTTGATCTGCGACAGCTTGTTGATGAGGAAGATGCCCTTGCCCTGGGCTTTGCCACATGGCTTCATGATCCAGGTGCTGGACGGACTCTTCCGGAACTCCTCCACGAACAGGTTGTAGTCAGCGGGCAGCATGTAGGTGACAGGGACGAAGTCTGAAAGGTCGAGACACCCAGAGCTGGTGAGCAGAGGGGACCATGGTCAGAGCAGCCCAGCAGTGACCAGAACAGAAACACCCGGCCACCGCCTCTGTCCACCACCCCGTTCCCCTGCTGCCACCTCTGCCCACCACCTCTGCCCACCACCCCCTTCCTCTACCCATCACTGCCTCCCCCTGCTGCCACCTGTGCCCACCACCCCCTTCCCCTGCCCACCACTGCCTCTCCCATCACCACCACTGCCTGCCACCTCTTCCCCTGTCTACCATTGCCTCCTCTCTGTTCACCTCGCTGCCCACCACCACCTTCCCTTACCAACCATTGCCTCTCCCCACCCACCTCTGCCTGCCACTCCTTTCCCCATCCTGCTACCATTTAACTACCACCCTCCCACCCATCACCAAGCCAGGCTCGAGCAGAACAGGACATCTGCAGTTCACTCTCGCAGAAACAACCAGAACCTAGTGCCTGACGCACTGCACCTACTTGGTGCCAAGATTCCAACTCCGAGCTCTCCCAAGGACAGAGCAGACCGCCCTGGGGTCTCCCACGCTGTGCGACCCCCAGGGAAGCGCGCGGCCTCACCTTCCTCCCAAGGCAGCTGCTGAGTTGGAACCACTGACCTGACTGCGAGTCACCAGCCTGACTCTGTGAGCTGAGCACTTGTCAAGTCTGTCATTTAACCTCACATCACCCTGAGTGCTCGGTAATGTCATCATTCCCATTTAGCAGATGAGGAAACTGAGGTTCAGAGAGTGAGCCTATCATCTTGCCCAGGCCCATGAGGGGATTTTGTCCAGCGGGCCTGTCTCCGTCTCCTGATGGGACGGGGCACCCCTTTCTCACGGTGCCAGCAGGTACGGTGACACTCTCTCATCGTCCTGCAGCTCGGCACTCCCTTCCCAACCTGGAGGGGTGCAGACTCCTTCACCCTGACCACGGCCGGCTCCCCGGCCCAGGGATGTCAGACCCAGAGCACGTGCTGCCGAGCGGCCCTGGGCGCCACCTACCCAGGTAGAGGTACTTCCCGTTTTCGTCCTTCTCGGCCAGGGGGCTGCCCTCCTTCTCCAGCTCCTTCCGGTAGCGCTTGATGTTCTTCACCATCAGGTCCTTCCGGGTCAGCTCGTAGTGGTTGGGGAAGTGGTTGACGATCTGGTCGTCGGACAGCCGGTACCCGGTCTCCACGCTGAACACGTTTCGGATGGTTTGCACGCTCATCCTGTAAGAGGAGCCGGGGGGCGGGCATGCAAGATGGAATCTGAATCTCCGCACAGGGTGCAAGGGCCAAAAGGCAGGCCCCGGGCCGTGTGGTCGGCCGGAGGAGCGTGAACCTATCAGGTTCCGGACCTTAGGAGAGAGCTTAGCATTCTGAACCCTGCTTAGAAGCGGGTAGATTCAAACCACTGGCCTTTCCCCCCCAATGTTTTGCTCCACACCAAAGTTCTGCTAAAGCTGCAGCCAGTGTCACCTGGATAAGCGTCCCCCAGGCCCACTCCATGTACCCCTCCCACCTGTACACCTGACACCTGTAACTCCTGTGCAAAGTCCGGTCAGGACCTGGCCCGAGCCAAGGACCGCCCGGAGCCTGCATCTCAAAACACCCCTCTGGTGAGGAGCAGATGCTTAGGATGCTTGTTGATGAAGAAGCTAAACCCAGTCCCTTCCCAGACGTTCACACCCAAGTTCAGGCGGCCAGGAGGCAAGGACAGCGGGCTATTCAAGGCGCCGGAGGCAGCACTGACCAGGCTCTGAGGTTTCCGACTGTGTAGCCCCTACTGAGAGGACGAGAAGGAGGATGGGAGGCAGGAGGCTGGGGGCACACCAACAGAGAGAGCTGGGTTCCTTCTAACCTCGAAGAAAGCCACTGTCACACCGCCAGCCTCACACCCTGTCACCAGCCTCAGAGGCGAAGGGAGAGAAGAGGAAGAAAGGGCTGGCACTAACAGTCAGTAGTCATCCCAAGACTCTGCTCTGTGGTCCTTGTACCGCTACCCCAACTCCACCAATCTTAGAAGAGCATCTAGAATAAAGACACTGTTCTCCCCACTTTCCACTGTAAAAAATTTCAACCCTGCATGAAAGCAGGGGGAAACGCATAATGGATCCCATTACCCCGCCTCAACAGTTAGTGATGCACAGCCCATCTGGAGTCATTTCTCTTCCCATCCACTTCTGATGTCCAAAACCATATTTCTAAGTCTCTCAAAGTTAAGAAATGCCCTTTGTTCATAGTACACGATTGTCTACTATTTTTATACAACTACTGCAACAAAAGTACGAGTGATTTATGAGTGTTGTTATGTGCCGTCAAGTCACCTACGACTCACAGCAACCATATATACAACAACAGCTCTGAACCTGCCCTCGCTTGAGCAGATCTCACTGTCTGGGACACATCTACCCCCATGACCCTAGTTATTGTGTCATTCCCTCTCATTCAGGTCCTCCTCTCCTGCGCGCTGCCGCTCCACCCTTCCTAGCATCATGTCCTTCTCCAAGTGCCCAAAGACGGAGCTTCAAAATCCTAGCCTCCAACCGAGGAGCACTGTTTCACGCTCTGCAGGACAGAATTGTTCTCTTGGCGGTCTGTGATGTTCAGTACTCTCCTCCAGCACAACAACTCAAAAGCCTATCATCAAACAGCGCAGCGTTCACAAGTCCCTCTGGCCTGGTGCACGCTGATGGGTCTGCGGAAGTACACTCAGCCCTGTGATTGGCTGCTCTGGGTGTCAGGTTCGGGGGCAGGGGGTGGGGGGCAGCAAGTACACTCAGCCCTGTGATTGGCTGCTCTGGGTGTCAGGTTTGGGGGCGGGGGGCAGCTCCGCCTCCTGCACCGGCAGACCCGGCCCCACTTGAGCTCCCACCTCTCCTACATCCCTCTACTTCTACAGCCTCTGCCGGCAGCTGACTTACTGAAGACACTGGGTCTTTGTCTTGGAGAGGCTTTCCCAGGTTCCTGTCCAGCTTGCTCCTCAGGTCCTTTCATTCCCACGTGTGGGGAAGTTTGGGCACAGCTCCGAGCATCAGCTGGTGCGCAGGGTGGGGTGTCACTCTTCTTAAGGTGTTGAGAATTTCAAATTCAAAAGGAATGCAACGTGAGCCCTCAGTGAGAGCAGATGACTCGTGGGATTGTACATTTTCTACTGTTACAGGAAGCAGCTGAAGACCATGCTGCTGATACAGTTAGCCTGACTCATCTCGGTGATCTTTACAGCTCTCAGGTGCTGTGGAGAAGATTCTGCCTCAAGGCGACCCGGCTGCTGTCACAGAGCAGATCTGCTCCACGGCATTTCCTTGCTCTGATCTGCACACCCTCCCGACCACAAAACACCATCTGATGGGTACAGATCAGATCACCAGGCCTTTCTTCCTCTTCACTTTTCCTTCAGGTGAGCAGCTGAGTGAAAACCAAGTGCGCCACCTGGGGGTTTTTTATTAGTGAAGCAAAAGCTGAATAAGAAATGTCACATTTGGGCGAGCTGTGGTGACCTAGTGGTAAGAAGCTACACTGAAATCCCAGAGGTGTGCGGTTCAAATCCACCAGATGCTCTGCTGAAGAAGGAGGAACAATCGCCTCCTGTACCAGTCAGATCCGATTTGACGGTACACACATTAAAAAGAAAGAAAAAAATGTTACGTTTGTTTGAACGCTGTCTTCACAATACAGTGTGGCTTTTACACTGATTGTGCACCTCAGATCGGACTCGTCACACTCGAGCTCAGGGGACACTGAGGAGAGTGGCCAGCTGCCAGGCAGCGCTGGGCTAGATCCTTCTAGTCACTGTTGCCACACGGACGTCAGCAGAGCAGCACTGCCCGACAGGGTTTGCTGGCTGCAATCTTTCCAGCTGTGGCACTGGTGAAGGGCACTGAATATACCGTGGACTGCCAGGAGAACAAACAGGTCCGTGCTGGAGAGGGTGAGACCAGGCTGCTCAGAGGAGGCAAGGATTCTGAGGCTCCGTCTAACATACTTTGGACATGTTGCAAGGAGGGACCGGTCCTTGGAGAGGGACATCATGCTTGGGAGGGTAGTGGGACAGCACAGGAGGGGAAGACCCTCGTTGAGATGGATCGATTCAGTGACTGCAGTCCTGGGGGTGGGGGTGTCAGAGACAATAAGGCTGGCACAGGATAGAGCAGGGTTCAGAGCTGTTGTACATAGAGTCGCTATGAGATGCAATTGACTCAACAGCACGTAACAACAACAATCTTTCCAGATTTGCAGATGACATAACCTTGCTTGCTGAAACTTAAGAGGAGACCTAAGTTTGCTTCTGCTTTTGCTGCAATATGGATTGAAGCTCAGCACCAAGAAAAGGATTCTCACCACTGGGCCAATTGGCAGCACCATAATAGATAGAGAAGAGACTGAGGTTGTCAATAATTTCATCTGGCTCAGATCCACAATCAACACTCTCGGAACCAACAGTCAGGAAGTCTGCTGTCAGGGACCTCCCCAAAGTACTAAAGAGTAACGACCTCAGTCTCGGGACTAAGGTGTGCCTGATCCAGGCCATGTTCTTTGCAATTACTTGCTATCCCTCAGAGAACTGGACAATGACTAAGGATGACCGGAGTATCAATGTCTTTGAGTTGTGGTGCTGGAGAAGAGTACTGAACATACTGTGGTCTGCCAAGAGAACAAACAGATCTGTCCTGGAGAGGGTGAAACCAAGCTGCTCCTTGAAGGCAAGGATGTTGATGCTTCGTCTCACATACTTTGGGCATGTGGCCAGAAAGGACCAGTCCTTAGAGAAGGACATCATGCTTGGAAAGCGGAGGGACAGCACGGGAGAGGAAGACTCTGGATGAGAAGGATTGACACAGTAACTGGGATAATGGAGGTAAGTGTGTCAGATTCAGTGAGACTGGCTCAGCGAGGCCGGCTTCAGAGCTGCTGTACACAGAGTTGCTGAGTCGCAAGTGACTTGACAGACATAACAACAACCATCTTTTCAGCACTTAGATCACCAGCTGCTCTTCCATGGAGCCAATGGTACATTCAAACTGCCAGTCGGGGTTGGGAACTGAGCACTTAAATGTCACGTCACCAAAACTCCAAGGACTAACCTCCTCCAGCAACACGCCCTCAGTACGTGAGACGGAGCTTCACCGTCTTTGCCTCCAGGGGGCACTCTGGCTGCACCTTCTCCTTGGACAGGGACATCACGCTTGGGAAGGCGGCGGGACAGGGATGGAGAGGAAGATGCTCAACCAGGTGGCCTGACACAGCGACAGCAGCAATGGGCCTGGGAGTGTCAGTGAGTGTGAGGCTGGCACAGGAGAGGACAGGGTTCAGATCTGTTGTTCACGGGGTTGCTATGGATCGCGCCAGACTCGACAGCACCTAACAACAACAACAACACTTACACCATAGCAAAGGGTCAATTCCAACTCACAGCAGCCTCACAGAACAAGGTAACTTCCCCAACAGGAGTCGCAGGCCTGGAATCTTTACAGAAGCAACTGCCATATCATTCTCCCACAGAGCAGCTGGTGGATTTGAACCACCAACCTCCCAGTTTGCAGCCAAAGGCTTAACCACTATAAAACCAGGGCTCCTCACTGTAATAGTTTTGCAAACAGGAGACATTCTCTTTCGGGCATCAGGGCTGTGTCCTCTCAGCATATCTATTCAATCTTTAGAGGCTGAGCAAATAATTCCAGAAAATGGGCTGCTTCTAGAAGAATGTGGCATCAGGATTGGAGGAAGACTCAACAATCTACGTTATACAGATGACACAACCTTGCTTTTAGAAAATGAAGACATAAAGCACTTGCTGCAGAAGATCAAAGACTCCACTCTTGAACATGTTACATCAAGGAAGCAAAATACCCCTCACCACTGGATGGACAGACAACATAGGCTAGACGGAGAAAAGAACACTTCATTTTACTTGGATCCACAATCAACATCCAGGGTCCGTGAGTCAAAATCAACAGATGCCTCTCCAAAGTTCTAAGGAACAAGGATGTCAGTTCTACAGACTAGGACGCGCCTGACCCAAGCCACGGCCTTTTCAACTGCTGCTTATACATCTGAAAGTTGACACTGAATAAGGAAGATGGAAGAAAAACTGAAGCCTTTGGACTGTGGTGCTGGCAGAGAGAATGGAACACCCTACGGATGGGCAAACAGAAGACAAGACGTGTCTTGGAGGAAGTGCTACTCAGGCGCTCGTGGGAAGCAAGGCTGCTGAGGCTCCGTCTTGTACACTCTGAGCATTCGTCAGGCGGGGTCCGTCCTTGGACAGACAGACAGGCTGGGAAAGGGAGAGGGACAGGGCAAAATGGGTCAACCCTTGAAGAGATGCCCTGGCACAGAGACAATGGGACTGAGCGGGCAGAGACAGCGAGGATGGCACAGGACAGGGCAGGATTCACGTCTGCTGTTCACACGGCCTCTGCCGGCCGCAGCCATGGGGGCTAACACGTCTGCTGTTCAGAGGGCCACTGACAGCCGCGGCCACGGGGGTTAACACGTCTGCTGTTCAGAGGGCCACTGACAGCCACGGCCACGGGGGTTAACACGTCTGCTGTTCAGAGGGCCACTGACAGCCACGGCCACGGGGGTTAACACGTCTGCTGTTCAGAGGGCCACTGCCGGCTGCACATGTCTGCTGTTCAGAGGACCACTGCCGGCCGTGGCCACGGGGGTTAGCAACACATCATCATCCCTTCACTGGAGTTTTTCCTATAAGGAGAAACTTCTCTTCCACAACAGTTCAGATGCCCTGATAGAGACTTCACACAGGGAAAACAGATGATGTGCCCGGATCTTACCTTAGAGCCATCATTCTCATGATAACGAGAGGGTTCCCTACCATCTTCTAACTCACATTCATTGCTGTTGCGTAGGACTGACTCACGGCTGAGCTTTCACTGGGTTAACAAGGCTATAAATCGACCAGGAGGAGAATCTGCCTCTTTAAACCAGCAGAGAGGCCTGGCCTGTAGGTTGGCAGCACACCTCGCTGTGGGTTACTCCACCAGAGCTGCCTGGTACATGGTATACTTTATATAATTAACAACAATTAATATACAGTGTATGTATATACGTACTCCATAAAGTAATACACCGACTTATATGTTATTGTTGTGTATCGTAGAGTCGGAACCGACCCCTAGCTGACACTCTGGGTGTCAAACAGTTGTGTTCTAATTATGTAGCATCAAACACAAATGACCCCAGGGTCGGCATGAGAGAGCAGGCAGGAGGTCAGATTCCAAGCCACAAACACATGGGAAGAGTCATGTTGCTGCCCTAACACAGCGCACAAAGACGATGGTCTACAATCCTCGTTGGTGAGCAGTCACGGGGCTCGAAAAGGCACTGAAAACACTGCCAAGAGTCTCCCTGCCTGAGACGAAGAAGAGCAAAGGAAATCGAAGGCACACAGAGATACTTAGCCCAGGGGAATAACGGACCAGGCAAATGTCAGCCTCCAACATGTTGAAGAACTGGACGGTGCCAGCTCCCCCTGCTAACCACGACAAAAAGGGATCACGGCAGAGGGTCCTGGGCAGGATGGGAGAAAACGTGCAATAAAACTCACAATCACACACACGCCTGGGCATGCTGGCCTAACACCTGTGGGAACTGGAGACAGACCACGCGCTCTCAGTGACCCCCTGCGCCTGGAAGTGAAGTCAGTCCTATGACTCAACAGGCGGACAACAGGCGGCTTACAAGGTGAACGACGACATCGGAAAGGTGCTGCACCTGCACGCAGGTGTCCCCGCCAAGGAGCTGCGGCCACGACAGGGCCAGAGAGCTGGGGGGTCGGCAGGGGTTGCTTCTGTTTGGCGGCTTTGCCAAAGTCACTTCTGTTTAGGTTAATGGTGCTCATGCCACTTCTTGGGGCCACTTGAGGGAGAGGTGGGGTCATGGGCCGTTTCCAGAGAGGACCTGACCCAGGACTTCTCAAAAGGGCTCAGCTCACTGCTGTCTGCCTGTCCTTCCCCTTCTGCAGGGCAGCCTTGTTGTTCGTTTATACATTGTTGCGGTTCTTTTTTAACTTTGTTGCATTGTGGCAACAACATTCACCTGAGCTGCTGGGCTTTACAACCCTGTGGTTCTACTTGGTTAGGTTTCTCTGAAGCGTGTGGCCTGAACTGGGGAAACAGGTTTCCTATGTGTTTAGAGGAGAAATGTGATGTGATGAAGGCACGGGGTGATGGGGACCTGTGGGGCTGTGCTTCACCTGCTCAATTCCCTTTCCCAGCTGAAAGAGCCCACGATGCTTCCAGGGGAGCTGCCGTCTGTTTGTGGGGATAGTAGAAGCCAGGAGTCATAACAAGGAGGGGACCAGGATGTGTTTAAGGCACCAGGTCAAGAAGTCCTTAATGACAGAGGGGGGAGGGGGTTCCTCCTTAGCTTGATTTTGCGAGCTTCAGTTTCTTTAGTTACTTCCAATCATGCTCATTTTTAACAGCATCAGCGCCGAGTTTTGAATAAGGCAGAGGGAGCACGTTACGGGCCCAGTATAAACGTTCAGACTAGTAAGAACCTAAGGGGTTCTCACTTTGGTTGAGAAGAAATCCTAGACGGGGGCCAGAAAAGGCACAGGCAGTTCTTAATAAAATGGAGTGATCTTTTTTTTTAAAATAGGGGGTAAAAACCCCAACAAACCAAAAACCCCATGAATGATTGAATGTAAACCCAACTGCAGCATAAACTTTCACCAAGAACACACTTTTCTTTCAGAAAAAGCCCTGAGGTTCTCTGGTGTTTGTGCACAGCCTGCAGTGGATGGTAGGACAGACCCATGCAACACGGTGACAGACTTCACGCTCCACGGGCCTTCAGTTCCCGCCCTGGGTGCAGGCTACTCATGCACAGCAGTTATCAGGACACACGCACAATTTGACAGCATTCTTTCACTACTTCGAAGTGCCTTGCACAACCTTACAGACTGCTCTACAATCTTCATGGTTATTTGAACTGTGGAACACAGTTCTCTCAGCAGATGCACTTAACTTTACTGCAGTTTCCAGTGTTTCCCCCTAGCCACTTGTCAAAGCTAAAAAGGACTTCTTTTTCCTGAGTTTGCAGCAAATCGGGCATGGACAGATGCTGCCTTTGTGAAGGGGTGGCACCCAGCCCAGGTATGAGTTGCCCACAGGTGCTGGTCCGCCTGCCACCTGCACCTGGAGCCGAGGCCATGATCTGAGGCACAGGCCAAGCAAACAGTCCTCGTCCACCCCCTGCTGGATCCAGGCAGGGTGCAGGGACAAACAGGGCCAGGCAAGGTCCTCCCCTCAGCAGGAGAGTGACACGCACAGAGGGAACAGAGAGAGAACAAGTCACAGCACACCCTGAGCGGCTGGGGCCAGCAGAGGCCAGGGCGCACATGTGAACGTGTGCAAGGGCTGCCAGGGCGCATGCGTGCACACGTGTGCCCTCAGCTCGTGCACCAGGAGCGCAGGGAGACTCCCGCCACAACGGGGACTGTGAGAGCTTCAGAGGCTGCAAAGCTCAGAGCCCGCTGGTGGAGGGCGCCCCCAACCCCGAGATGCGCTGACTCCCCAGGGGCCTGGCTGGGTTCACTGTGGGTGTGCCCACGTGTGTGTGTGTGTGTGTGTGTGTATCGGGGGGGACAAGAGAATGAACAGCAAGGATGCAAAGATAATGAGTGTCCAAACATCCTGTCAGGGAAACAGTCGAATGTGCGGAGGGGTCCAGCGGAGGGGTGGGATCAATAGGGAAAGTAGGGTGGGGGAGACAGTGACAACTCTGATGTTCTCCCGCCCATAGCCCCACAGAGAATTGTGGTGGATTCTCCAGACCGCCAGCTTCAGAGGTCTCCTGAGGTGCCTGCAGGTTAAAGGGGTCTGGACAGGTCTCCCGGGACAGGGTCTGCTACTGTGGACTGTCAGATGGGATCTAGGCAAGGTCTGGAGGCAGGAGGGGGCTGGAGGACACAGGCCCCTGCAGTGACCGGGGTGGGTGCAGTCTGGCGGTAGGGCTGGGTGGGGAAGGGGCTTCTAAAGTGATGCTCAGGCTCCATGGCGAGAGAGGACCACGTTGTTGGTTTCCCTGCCCTAGTCTAATGCCCTGTCCAGTAGTCTAACACAGTGTCCAGTAGTCTAACGCACTGTCTGGTAGTCTAACACCCTGTCCAGTGGTCTAACACAGTGTTCAGTAGTCTGACACCCCATCCAGTAGGCTGACACCCCGTCCAGTGGTCTAACACCCTGTCCAGTGATCTAACACCCCGCAGTGGTCTAACACACTGTCCAGTGGTCTAACACACTGTCCAGTAGTCTAACGCAGTGTCCAGTAGTCTAACACACTGTCCGGTAGTCTAACACCCTTTCCAGTGGTCTAACACAGTGTCCAGTAGTCTGACACCTCGTCCAGTAGGCTGACACCCCATCCAGTGATCTAACACCCCGCAGTGGTCTAACACACTGTCCAGTGGTCTAACAGCCTGTCCAGTAGTCTAATGTCCTGTCCAGTAGTCTAACACCGTGTCCAGTAGGCTAACACCCTGTCCAGTGGTCTAACGCCCCATCCAGTGGTCTAACACCCTGTCCAGTCGTCTAACGCCCTGTCTGACGCCCTGTCTGGAGGCTGCACTTCGGTGTGGCTTTGCTCACTCCCAGCCGCATGCTCTCAGCAAAGCTCCGGACCTTTGTCCACATCCTCCTCCTGCCTCCTTCCTTCTGGAAAGTCCCCCAGGTGGGGCAGCCAATGACTCCCAGGTGACCTGCAGCTCTGGGCAACAGCACCTACTAGGCAGGCCCCCTGGGATGGGGCGATGGGGCTGGGCTTCCTCACACCACTTCCTTCATGCCCTCAGGGTGCAGCCCGCCCACTGCCTTGGCACACATCTGTCCACACACACACACCCCGGGAGAGGACTCTCTGGACCCACAGCCACCAACCTCCTAAAGCAGAATCCTTTCCACACAGCGGCCTGTGTCTGCGCTGCTGGAATCAACTAGCCTGCAGAACAGACTGAACGAGGGCAGCCCAGGCTCGCGTCCCGCACTCACCAGTAAAAATTCCAGTCCTCGTTCTCTGTGACCTGGACCCATCCTCTCTTCTCGAAGTTGTTTATCAGCACTGACTTCTCAATGTCAGTGACCCATTTCACTTTTCCGGCCATAATCCTGGAAGAGATGAGCCTGTCACAGCCATGATACTTCAACAAGCAGCTTCTCCAACCAAAGGGATCCTGGAAATAACCCACACAACATGCTTTGGTCCCCCACCCCAAGCTCAGCAACAGGCCTTCACAGGGGAGACGTGCCCCAGGGCCAGCGGGCAATGTCTAGAGATGCTGTCACAACTGGCGTGACAGGTGCTACTGGCAGCAGGGGAGGAGGCCAGGGGTGCAGCTCAGCACCCCACAGTGCACAGACCCACCCGGCCCCAAATGGGACTGGCGTCATTTCTGAAAACCCCAGTCGAATGAGAGAGGAGAGCAGTTAAAGAGTTATCCACAAGGGAGCTCTGGTGGCCTAGTGGTAAGAAGCTGCACTGCAATCTCAGAGGTGCACAGTTCAAATCCACCAGATGTTCTGCTGGAGAAGGAGGGACAATCTCCTCCTGTACCTGTCAGATTCAATTTGATGGTACACGCACAAAATAATAAAATTAAATAAAAAATTAAAGTGTTGGGGAGCTCTGGTGGCCTAGTGGCAAGAAGCTGCACTGTAATCTCAGAGGTGCACAGTTAGAATCCACCAGTTGCTCTGCTAGAGGAGGGACAATCTCCTCTTGTACCTGTCAGATTCAATTTGATGGTACACAAACAAAATAATAAAATTAAATAAAAAATTAAAGTGTTATCAACGGGTGCCCCCTCATTACTGGGACAAGAGGCACACAGGGATACACGCAGGGCTGAGATGGGGCAGGAGGCTGGGGTGTGGCTGGGATGTGGTCAGGGTGGCTGGGGGCCTATGATGACCTATAGAGGGGACCTGGGCTGATGTCATGCCATCCTAATCACAGCCCTGCCGTCCACCCCCACCCTCCAGCACTTCCCACCTTCCTGCTTCCTCTCGCCTTTCACTAACTCATCTGATCACCTGAGGAGGGCCATGATGCAGGGAGGAGTCAGGATGAGAGGTCTTAGAATGGGAGGAGTAACAATATGGGGAGGAGTCTGAAGGGGGAGGAGTCCTGACAAAGGGAGGACCAATCCTAAGGGAGATGTTGTGATAGAAGAGGAACCATGATTCAGGAAGGAGTCATGATGGGGGGAGAAATGATGGGAGGACTCAGAGAAGGAGTCATGACAGAGGAGGATGCTTGGAATAGGGAGGACTCCTGATGGCAGAACAGTCACAACATAAGAAGCAGTCACGATAGGGGAGGAGCCATTATAGGAGGACTCCTAATAGAAGACTCATGAAAAGGGAGGAGCCATGGTAGAGGAGGAGTCACAACAGGAGAGGAACCATGACAAGAAGTCATGAGAGGAGAGGACTCATGATAAGGGAAGAGTCACAACAGAGGAGCCATGACAGGGGAGGAGTCATGATGGGAAGATTCATGATGGGGAGGAGTCCCGACAGGGGAGCAGGTCAGCAGGCATCGCCCCAGTGAGTGCAGAGGCACCAGGGCAGGACCCGGAAACCACAGCCCATAAAATGAGCACATCTCAGATGCGGACTCTCACGCCTCCAGATCTACAAGCTGCACACGTGCACAGACAAGCCTGACACACCCATGTGCACACACTCACATGCACGGAAGCATAGGCATGTGTGCACATGCTCACCCACACAAAGAAGCACCAGTTCATACGTGTTCACACACACATAAGCACACGTGAGTATACACGCACAGAGACACATGCACACACAAGCACGCATACACTCACACATGTGTACACACTCGGAAGCAAGCACTTACACATTCACACACTTGTACACACAAACTCATCAATGGTCATCACAACATTGTGTCAGAGCCAAGAGCTGAGGCATCGGAGACTTCACCAGGAGCTGTCAGTCCTGAAAGCTCTGAACCCCTGATAGACCTGGCTCACATCCTGTCCCCTAGAATTCAAAAGGGGAATCAGGCTTTCAGGGGAGGCCCACCCTCCTCGGGTCAGCTCTGCCCACACTACAACCTCCAACGGCTGCCCGCTCCACACCACGTGCCCAACACATAAATCTTAGCGGTGACAATGACCAGTGACCTGCTGTGGTTGACAGCACAGGGTGACGTAAAGCTGACAATCACAAGGACACCACACCGCCTTTACAGAGGGCGTGAACAGTAAAACACCGCCTCTGCGCAGAGGCTGCCGATCCACACACTCAGCCATCGCGCTGTGTGCAGTTTGGAGAAAGGTCGTTGGCCACTATCGCACCGAATCCTGTGAGAATAACCCAAATTGGACAGAGACATGGAATATGCACACGCTCCTCGAAAAACAATGCCACAGACCTGCTCAACACTGGGGCACTGACATCGGGGTTGGGGGGAGATTGAGAAAGATGGGATAAATAATGTACACTGCACTGAAACAGATGAGGGACAGAACTGTTTAAAATGAACATACGATTGGGTATTCTTGTCATTACAGAAGTCCAGGGTGAAGACTGCATAGTGGAGTGGACTTAAGGGAGAGACTGAATACCAATGAAAGAGTTTTTCTTTTCAAGGAGAAGAATGAATTGGAGGGGTGGGGGTGGGTAGGGAAAAAAGTGCAACAATGAATGACTGGAAACCCTAAGTCTTTGTAAACTTTCATTAAAATGAATTTTAAAAATTTTTTTTAAAAAAGCAACGTACATGGAAACAAGTCGCACCTGTCGCCCCACTTCCACGTGGCTACGGCATCACTGGCAGGTGACGCGCAGGGTTGACCTTCCACAGGGGCTTACGGAGTCAACGCAGCGGCCAAGTCTCCTCCGCGTCACGGGCCTAGCCTCGGCTTCCATCCTAAAAGAGAATAAATACCCAGATGACGTGCACGCAGCAGAATCAACACAGACAAGCTCAAGAATGCAGCACAACCGTGAGTCACCAGAAAGTTCAGGGCAGGCCAGGGGATCCCGGGGACCTCCTCTAGCTGTGGTGAACACTTTGGAGCTCCAGCCACACTGTGCAAAGGAGTCCTGGTGGTGTAGCAGGGGCATGCTGAGCTGCTAACTGGAAGGTCTGCAGTTCAAAGCCACCAGCCACCCCCCAAGGGGGAAAGGCAATCTGTTTGCTTAAAGGTTCACAGGTCCCCAAATCTAAGGGAGGTCACCACCGACTGAGAGCAGTGGGCGAGCATTCTGCTTTTGCTACAGAACTCTGCCCACCTGCCCAGTCCCTCCTGCTCCCCAAGCACTGGCCACCCCTTTCCCTCCACCTAGAGACACCACCTTTCATACTTTCTCACCATCCTGTCAATCACACAGGCTCAGGTGACTCTGGCATCCTCGAGAGCCTTGCACCGTCAGAGCGGCCCACTCATCCTCTCTACCTGAGTGGTCCCTCCCCATTTGCATGGACTCACTGTCCCCCTAAGGTCATATCTAAGCTTCCTAGCTGCTGTTTTCAGTCTGATGGGACATAGAGCATTCTCAAGGCGGACACTGCTTCAGTAGTTAAGGCGCTGTTTACTTTGTAAGTAAACCTCAGAGAATTCTTTTGGTTTAAGTTTTAAAAATGATCTCAGGGTGACAGTTTCAGGGGTTCATCCACCCACCCTGGCTTCAGGAAGTCTGGAGTCTATGAGAAATTTTAATTCTGTCCTGCATTTTCCTCCTTATAACACAGATTATTCTACAGACTTTCACATCAAAGCATCCAGGAATGGTGGCCGGGCAGCGTCCAGGAACGGTGGCCGGGCAGCGTCCAGTTCTCCCTCGAGGCAAAGGAGGCAGCTGTTCTGGGAGGCGATTAGTCACATCCTCCATCTTCTCCTCCTGTCCCTGGTGCTCCTTCTGTGACTCCAGGTGAAGAGAGAGCATGTGGGCTGCAAGGCCCTGCTGGCTCCCCAGGTCCTCAGTACAACAGACGAGAGCCAGTCCACCACGAGGGCGTTTCCCTGGAACGTGGCTGCATCCAACGGTTAGGGATGTTCTGGCAAAGCTTGCTGGGCTTTGCACTCTCTGGATCCTACATCCAAGTCTCACGGGACCTCTCATCCCGGGGACCTGAGTCAGCAGCCTGTCATCCTGTCTGTCAGCCACCAACTGATCCCGTGTGTTCAGCACCCACTGCAGCTCTGAGTCAGGCCCTCCAGCCTGTGGTCTGAGCGACTGCTGTGGGAACTCCAGCCTCCTTCTCTCTCTCCTTCATGTGTGTGTGTGTGTGAATCTCTCTGCTTCATGTATGTGTATGGATGTGTGTATGCATATATGTATATGCATGTATATATGTAGGTCCCTGCACACACACATATATATGGGAGCTCTGGCAGCCTAGAGGGTCAAAGAGTTGCACTGTCAACCCAAAGGCAGGCAGTTCAAATCCACCAGCGCTCCATGGGAGAAAGACAGGCCGTCTCCTCCTTGGATTTACAGCCTCTGAAAACCTGCTAGAGCATCAGTTATGAGTCAGCTCCATCTCAGCAGCACACAACAAGATACAAGTGCACGCGCACGCACCCCCCCCACACACACACACACAGAGCTCTGGAGGCACAGCTGGTGAAGAGCTGGGCTAGTAACCCAAGGGCTGTTCTTCTCTAGAGGTTCAAATCCACCCACTGGAGAGAAAGATGGGAAGTCTCCTGTGTGATTTACGGCTTCAGAAAGCTTAAGCCAGGTCAGCGATGAGTCAGCCCTGACGTGACGACAACGAGGCTGAGTTTCACATAACACATACACATACGTATAATATGCGGTTTCAAACCGGCCGTGACTCCCAGAGACCCCACGAGCAACGGACTGGACCTTCGCCCTCTCCTGCCCGAGCCTCCAATCTCGCCCCCACTCAAGCTCATTGCTTCACTTCTGCAGTCACTACACAAACGTTGTTGTTAGGTGCCAAGGAGTCAACTGGACTCACAGCGACCCTGTGAACAGGTCTGCAGCCTCTGCCATACACACGATGTCTCACACACTCGAGCCTATGGTTAGTCACTGGGTCAAGCCACCCTGTGGAGGGTCCTCCTCTCCTACACTGACCCTCCCCCTTTCCAAACCTGACGTCCTTT